AAAAAAAGATTTCACTTTTTTGTCTTTTTTCTACAACAATTGCTTAATTTACAATGACTATCGAATCTGCCAATTATCTAAATTTTCGTTCAGATCTTTGTATCACACCACGCCAAAAAACGACACTAATTTGAAATGATTTTTTTTGTATTTCTCTGTTACGTAGGTTGGAACATACGTAGGTTGGAACATTCAAGTTTTTTTTGTAACTCTCTGTTACGTAGTTTTTGTAACTCTCTGTTACGTAGTTTTTTTTGTTTTTTTTGTAACTCTCTGTTACGTAGGTTGGAACATTCAAGACTAGCCTTATTTATATCAAGAAACACGCAGTAACATTTTGGCATAATTTCATCTGGAGTGACTGGAAAACACCCAATGAAACAAAAGGTTGATACAAGAGAAGCCGGTTCTTTTTTTTGACTTCGTTTTGTTTTTATGCCATGGGCTGATGAGAGGAATCAAACAAGAGCTCAAAATGTTCGTAAATGAAGCAAAATTGACACAGCTGTCATCAAAAAACTTTTTAAAATTTCAAATAAAACTCTAACTTCCAAATTCTAACTTCGAAAAAACACTGCACAAAAAAGTTCAATATCGAGGAAAGAGTTTTGAAGTTTTGAAAAGGTATCAATTTGCAATAAACCAATTTTGAAAAATTAAATGTAATACCTCCTTTTGCGTTTAATGAAAGTAGAAAAAACTAAAACATACTCGAAGAAAAAAAATTCCACCCCGCACCGAAGTTTCTCCGATTAATATCTATTATCTGGCGATTTTGTGGTCGATCAAACAATTATTCTTTTGATAATCAATTATCTGGTGATTTGTGGTCGCAGAGTAAAATAATCGCGATTATATGGAGAAAACAAGTTTGGTTTGAATTCAACTTTTGCTTTGAGTTTTCAAATAGCATAATTTTAAGAAGAGAAAAATCAATTTTTCTGACAATATAATCAAATTTTTTGACAACATAATCGATTTTATTGCAGTTTTATGGCAATAGCAATAGTTTTTGTTGCGGTTTTATGGCAAAAACAATAGATTTTATTGCATTTCTATGGCAAAAACAAAAGATTTGATTGCAATTTAATGGCGAAAGCAATCGATTTGATTGCAATTTCATGGCGATTTTAGGGCAAAAAACTAGATTTTATTGAGATTATTAGGAGATAAAAATACATTTTAAAGGAATTATAAGGCAACATATTCTGCATGAAAATAATCTTTTTTCTTTTTTATTATAATAGAAAACGTTGCTTTAATTGGTTACACATAATCGATTATAATGTCAATATTTTTGGCAACAATTTCTCAATATAATCTATTTTTATCTGAGAAACTTCGGTGAGGGACCCCTCTTAGTCGTTGTAACAATGAAAGCTGCTGTAGATTCCATATGTGTCCGACAAGATCAATGAAGCCATTAGTTTTTTTTTGTCAAAAACAATAGAGGAAAATTTGGTTTTTCAAATGTTGTTTTTTTGTAAACTCAACCCAAGCAAAATTTTTCTATCAGAGAAATATATGTTGTGAAATCTTGAGTTTTGCAATTTCCACGAAGCGAAAGTCATTTGTAGCTTTGAAACGGGTAATTAGATGCTAATTCAAGTTTTACAATGTTTTTACGATGAACTAAATGACAATATGAATGAGGATAGCCGGTGTTGACTCTTTTTCCTTCCCCCCCCCACCTGCAAATTTTTATATTTGAAATTACTGTTCACTTTGTCCGATTGTCTTGAAATTTGACATGCAGACTAACTAGGTTATGAGAAACATATTTGGTCTTCATAATTAACCTTGTAGAAACCACTCGTTAGACCATAAAATTCATGTTTGAGTGAGGTGGGAGGGAAAAGGAAAAAGAGCCCCGGTGTTCTCAAAAGTTGCTCAGATTGTTCCGACCAAATTAATTTAAAAAATGAAAGCAAAAAGAAAAACTAAGTTGCTGGAACGAAAACCTTTGTATCCGACTGCTGTGCAGGTAATAGAGGAAATTACAAAAGAGCAATGAATGTTTGTTTTAACAACAAAAAAGTTAGAGATGGTTTTACGCAGTTTATTGTTGTTCCGACTTTCGATACAAAAGTAACGGAATATTTGTGCTCGGGGTGGGTTTTTTTTCTTCAGACAAATTTCGACTTTTTAACTGACCATTTTTTAAGGAATTTTTTAAATCAATCGAAAGGTATTGTTTTTTTGAGCTCAAATTTGAAAAGATATTTCACCTGTGATTACTTTTCGTAAAGTTACGGGGGTTTAAAATATGCCATTTTGGCCAATTTAGGACAATTAACGCGCGATATATTTAGCGCTATTAACGCGTAAGAGGAGAGTGAATCTGTCTTAGAAATTGTTCCAAATTGTTTGAGAAGCTTATTTGGCATAATTGATAAGTTACAAGGAGCGAAATCTACTCTTTTGTGTTTTATATGGGATGGATGATTTTCATAAAAAATTTCAAATTTTAGAAAAAAAAACATTTTGCATTTTGTTTTATTTCATTTGATTTTTTAATGTTTTTACTGCTCCATAAACCTTGAAAGGCAGTCGGAACATTCAGAGCTCCTCCCTGATAAGAGCAGTCTTGTTTTGTTTTGAGGTGATGGAGAATTGTGCAAATTATTAGTTCAAATGATATTCAAAAAGATCAAATCAGAAGTCAATCAATTCGGTCAAACAGTTAAGAAACGAATTTTAAGATCAATTAGAGAGGAAAAAAAAACAAAACCAAAAGCCAAACTTTAACACCAATTTTTCTCGACAAAACTTATAAAACACTTTTCGTTGCTTCTCAGCCCACAATTAAAAAGGCTTCAAAATGATGTAGGCGTCAAAATGATGACTCAACACTAACTGCCGTTCGATGTGGCTTTCTTGAAATTGAGTCGCAAGCCACGTTTCATGGTTGTTAAATTTGATTGAAAAAACGTAAAAGGTAAGACCAAAAATCCTTCATAGCTCGGAAATTCGGAACAAAAAAGAAGAATTATTTACAAATAAGAAAACTCAAGTTTTCTTACAATTTTATTCCAGCGCTGAGTAATTGGCTACATTGCAGTGTCGCCCATTTACTCAGACTTTCATTAAGGCTCAAAATAGTCAAACAAGCATACCTCGTTTCAAATGGATCGATTACTACACAGGAACAAATCATAGTTCACGCTACAACAGTGTAAAAATTTACCGTCCCAAATTAGACATGAAAATTTCAAACCCTAAGTTTGTTTGCAAAAATAATCCACGTTGAAACATCTTTTCATGTTTTTACTCAAGATGTTGATACTCTACAGATGGTATAAAAAATTTTCTTAGGAAATGGCTAGCTTACAACTCAAAGACTGAGTAAAGAAAAACACACCAAGCAATAACTGCTGTTCGACTGCCATAAGGCCAATGAAAATCTTTTTTTGCTGAAAAACTGATAAGTAAAAAAATTTGAAAGTTATAAGAACAAAACTATGATTTTTTGAGTATTCTTGTGGTACAAAAAATTGATAAAAATCGATTATCTACAGAAAAAACACAGATTTTAGAAAAACTGTGATTCATACTGTAACACTTCGATTATAACCATTAGATACTCAATTAGAATTCATTTTGTTTTGCAAAGATTTTATACAGCATATCTTCCTTATGTAGTCACTATCAACTTTAGTCATGTGTTCACTAACAAATTTGGTTTTTCTATGTAAATTTTTACACATACTATACAGACTGTATACAGATTTTAATTTAGTTAATCGTTACAAGACTGCGTATGCCTTACCATTGCTTCATTAATCTATAGGGTGATGGTTTCTTGCGTGGTATCATAGGGGGAGTAGTTAAAGAGACTCCGATGTTCTTTTTTTATTTTTTATAATTGTGTTTTAACTTTCTGATAAACTTTGCTCAATTTGATTTCAAATTTTTTTTCTTCAGAAAGCATATTTTACCATATTTTATTCAGAAAGCATAAGAGTACCAAAAACTTCTTTTTCCGGCGATATAATTAATTTTTTCTCGTCCTTCAAAATAGATTTTATACAGATTATCTACAGATTATCTATAGATAATCTACAGATTATATACAGACTTTATACAAATTATCTACAGATCATCTACAGATTACCTACAGGTTGATTTTTATAAGGATGACATTTTTATACAGATTATATACATTTTTATAAGGTTGATTTACATTTTTAAACAGATTATATACATATTACATACAGGTTATATACATGCTTTATACAATATAAAATCGATTGTTTGGGTACCAAAATCCATTTTTTTGATGAAAAAAAAATGGATTCTATCTGTATAGAATCGATTATCGTTCGTAAAATGGTTGTTGATAAATCGATTGCATACGTACGTTACTCTGTAGTTTTGTCTGTATATAATCAATTTTAACAATTTTCATCACTGCGGGGGGTTGTAACGCATCAATAAGACCCAAACGTTTCACCCAATTGAATTTGTTTTAGTTCACCAGTTCATTATGAAAGCGCGAAAAAATTGCGCGTTTATGATTTCATCTTGATCAAACTTTTTAAATCCTCAGATTTTTACAAAATGATAGTAAATATCTTTCAACTTTGAGCTCAGGGCATTGCTTACTGTCATTTGATGTAAAAATGCGTCAAATTTGGCTATATTAAAATTTGAGAACTATTTGAAAAAAAATTTGAAACAATAATAAGTCACGCTGAATTTTCGTGCGAATTACATTCACAGTAATCTCAGCTAGCGCTTTACTGATATACATGACCAGAACACAATTGATTTGCACTAAGCTTACTTCGATAAAAGTTTTGGTCCAAAAATTATCAACAAGACAATTTAACATTGATACTTCAAGGCATGAAATCTTTTCATTCATTTTGAAACCCGATTCATAACTGAAAGCGCTTAAAACATTTCGGTAAAGTATCGCCGACTTTAAAAGAATAGATGTGGCTTTTCGCTATTTTGCTATTTACGGATAGTTTTAACAAACATTTTGGAGTTTTTAGAAATTGACGAATGTGCATGCGGTTACTCCGGATGTCAGCATAAGTGCACAGATTTGGATCCTGCAATTGATGCTACAAACAGACGATTCGAATGCTCATGTAACGTTGGATACACACTACAGAACCAGTTCAACTGCATTGGTTTGATACAATTTTTAAACCCCTTTTTTCACTCAAAGAATATTTAACTGAAAGAGACCGGATAGAATGCGTCAAAATGCATCCATTATTTGCAAAGTGGTTGGGAGAGGGGCGGGGCTGTGGCTGGTGGCGTGATCGGATTGTCAAAAAATTTCGAAAAATTGGTCGAATATTTTTTAGGTCGACCGAATTGATTTTTCGAGCTCTCCCAAAGAGGTAAAAGGTCCCTGATTTGGCCAAACTTTTGGCGCCTCAGGCAAAACTTTGAAAAAAAAACAGGCCAAAAGTAGCGTTTTTGGGCACTATTTGGAAAATTTTAAACAAAAAGTAATTAGTAGTTTTACTAACTACTAAATTTTAAACGTAGTTTTGGCGCGCGCTCCCCCTGAAAATTAGTATATTTTGGCGCCTTTAGAAAAAATTTAGGGTCAGTCTGCCAAAAATGGATATCTCAAAGAATACAAGTACGACCCTTTGGCTCGGCAGGGGGTGGAATTCTTGAGCAGGTGGAAGGGGCGTCCGCCCCCATCCACCCCTAAATCCGCCCCTGATCATGAATGCCTTTTACAAAAACTATTTGAATTTTAAGGATTTGAATAGGTATCTTACTTCATTTGAAGCCTAGAAAGAATTTGCCGTCGACCATCGATCAGTGGGACTTCTTTTGATAATACTAATAATAATCCAATTTTTAGATTACAAAATTAACGCAGAAAATCTTGCCTAAATCTAACTTCAGCGCCACTTTGTTGCTCGTACTTTTAAATTTGGAGAGGGAACGCTGCATAATACAAGATTTTTTAGCCAAACGTTTTCGAAACAAAATCCAAAAACGGTTCTTAAACAAATGACATATTTCGCACGTTTTAAAAAAAAATTTAAAAACAATCTACGAGGTGTGGATTTAGGAGAGGAGGAGGGGGGTATGGAAGCCCCTCTTCAGAGATTCGACCCACTGAATACTCGAACACTCGTTTTGTTTAAAGACATTCAATTTTGAGGGGGAGCGCCTGTTTTCAAAAACTTGCTGCGGCGCATATAAAATTGATAAAAATGGGGATCTTTGAATGGATTTGGGAGGGCTCAAAAAATCAATATAGTCGACCTAAAAAAAGTCGACAAAATTTTTCAGAATTTTTTGAAAATCCGCTCCAATGCCCTCCCCCCTCCCCCTCCCTTCGAGAAAGTAGAAAGTTCTGGATCCATCCCTGCAATCTACTGAACCTCGTAGATGCAAACGTGCTTCAGATATTGACGAGTGCGCTGTCAGCACAGTCTGCGGTGCCTCTGGTTCCTCTACCTGTTCCAACAACGATGGTTCATATGTGTGCAAATGTAATGCTGGCTGGACTGACACCGGAAATTTCTGCTCAGGTCCAACCTCCAGAAACTTTTTTTTGCATTGAGCTTCAAAAAATTATTTTTTTTCCTTCGTTATTTGTAATTAAAAACAAAGGGCAAACAAAGTCTGATGACTCAACCAAAATCTGGAAAACAAGATTATATTTCACAATTCTACGAAGGAATAAAACAAATTTGGAGCAAAACTTAATGACGATAACTAACTTATACAGCGCACTTTTTCGTAAAGTGACTCAAGCTGTTGAGCAAAGTTATGTGTTCAGTCGTCAAGGGTAAACTCAAGTGGATTAAAAAAAAAACAGATTTAGTGTAAGTGAGAGCGAATCTATCGAAAGCATATGATTTGCTTCATAGCTTATTTTCAAACAGAACTTGAAAAACCATGGCTTCGATCCATCAACAACTGATCTAGTAAAATTGTTTTAGAAAACAGACAGCTGCAACCAATAGTTAATGATTCATTTTCTGATGGGCCAAATTTGAATAGAAGTGCTCTCTAGGGTACTCTGCTAAGAACATTGAAAGTCAGTTTATTTGTGTATGATAGAGCAAAATCTCTCGGCGTGTCATGTACTCATGTACAGTACGCCGTTAAAACATCACTTTTAAGTTTCCATTCAAACCTTTAATCTGCATTTCTATATACACTGTTCAAAAAATAGACAAAACGGTGAGATTCGACCCACTGAACACTCGAACACTCGTTTTGTTTAAAGACATTCAATTTTGAGGGGGAGCGCTTGTGTTTTCCAAATCTTGCTGCGGCGCAAATAAAATTGATAAAAATGGGGATCTTTGAATGGATTCGGGAGGGCTCAAAAAATCAATTTAGTCGACCTAAAAAAGGTCGACAAAACTTTCAGAATTTTTTGAAAATCCGCTCCAAATACCCTACCCCCCCCCCCTTCGAGAAAGTTCTGGATCCATCCCTGCAATCTACTGAACCTCGAAGATGCAAACATGCTTCAGATATTGACGAGTGCGCTGTCAGCACAGTCTGTGGTGCCTCTGGTTCCTCTACCTGTTCCAACAACGAAGGATCCTATGTGTGTACTTGTAATGCTGGCTGGACTGACACCGGAAATTTCTGCTCAGGTCCAACCTCCAGAAACTTTTTTTTTGCATTGAGCTTCAAAAAATTGTTTTTTTTCCTTTGTTATTTGTAATTGAAAACAAAGGTCAAACAAAGTCTGATGACTCAACCAAAGTCTGGAAAACAAGATTATATTTCACAATTCTACGAAGGAATAAAACAAAATTTGGAGCAAAACTTAACGACGATAACTAACTTATACAGCGCACTTTTTCGTAAAGTGACTCAAGCTGTTGAGCAAAGTTATGTGTTCAGTCGTCAAGGGTAAACTCAAGTGGATTGAAAAAAAACAGATTTAGTGTAAGTGAGAGCGAATCTATCGAAAGCATATGATTTGCTTCATAGCTTATTTTCAAACAGAACTTGAAAAACCATGGCTTCGATCCATCAACAACTGATCTAGGAAAATTGTTTTAGAAAACAGACAGCTTCAACCAATAGTTAATGATTCATTTTCTGATGGGCCAAATTTGAATAGAAGTGCTCCCTAGGGTACTCTGCTAAGAACATTGAAAGTCAGTTTATTTGTGTATGATATGGCAAAATCTCTCGGCGTGTCATGTACTCATGTACAGTACGCCGTTAAAACCACTTTTATGTTTCCATTCAAACCTTTAATCTGCATTTCCATATACACGGTTCAAAAAATAGACAAAACGCAATACAGCAGTTTTCTGCGTCATCTCAACTAATAAACTAAAACAAATTTGAAGCTGAAGGGAAAATTTGAAAATCACATACTTGAAACACCTGAGTTCACCAAATGTCTTCGAGTAAACTTAGATGAAAGTTTGCTTTTCAAAAGAAAGTCATTTTGCTGCAGAAAATAAATAATTCAATTCAAATCATCAATTACTCTAGTGATGAAACTTTTTCATTTTTCCACGAAAAGCTTTTCTCATTGCTCTGTATGAGGCCATTGTCAGTATTCTGGGATGTTTTTGAAAAATTGTACCCAAGTGTATTTCGACAAGTTAAGACCTGTTATGGTCAATTTATGTGTTGATGATATGTCAGCATCTCTAGACATGCCCTATACTCTAGTACCATATGCCGATGATACACTCCTACTAATTTTCCTTTCAAATTTTAAATCTACAACACAAAAAACTGAATTCAGCTTCAACAAAAAATTTCCATGTATTTTTTAAAATATAATTATCCAAAAAGCAGACAAACTTCTTTATAATTTTTCTGCCTCATCTCAAAGACGAAACTCAATGAAATTTAAAGCTGAAGGGGAAAATCACAAAATTAAAATATCTGATTTCATCAAGTGTCTTAGTTTTAACTCCGATGAAAATTTACTTTGGAAAAACAAGAGATACTACTGCAGGCAATGGCTAATGTAAATCGAATCATCAAATACTTTAAGGCTGGAGTTTTTCTACCAACATGAAAGCTCTTCTCAAGGTTCCGTATGAAACCATTTTCACTATTTGATATGGTTGTGAACTTTTGTACTCAAGTGTATTCAAAAAGCTGATTAAGTCGAACCAAACTGGCTAAAAGCATTTTGGAAAAGCAGAAAGAGTCGGGGATTCTCTTGAATAAAAACAAAAAGATTTTGTCAAAAAAGTCAATAGCATGTTCTTTTATGCGCGGCATCGCATTTTTCCTGGTTTGCGTGAAAATTTTGTACTGCTTTCCTGTTCAAATCAAAAAGTTCAACAAGGTTCGTCAAGAAGAAAACGAGTTATCTCATAAAATGTCCTGAATACAAAAAAAACAAATGAATGAAAATAGAAAAAAATGAAGGGTAAAATCTAATGCATAGGCATAGTAGAAGATATTATGCTAACGTCTTTTCCGATACTCAATATTTACTACAGAGTCTTGGTAATTCAGTGACCGATGAAAAGTTTTTCTGTCAGCCTTTTAAAACTCATATTGGACACATTTTCTATCCATAAACCAATCGGAAATGGGAAACATTTCACAAACAATAAACTGATTTCTCTCTATGTTTTTTCTCTCTCCCTCTCTTTCTCTTTCCAGCTCTCTATCTCTTTCTCTCTCTCTCTCTCTCTGCAACTAACTTTTCATCAAGTTATCTTGCAACTAAAATCGAAAATTAAAACTATCTCAATTATTTTCAAAATAGAAGAAAGTCATTACAAAACCTTGATAGAGAAGTTAAAACTAACCTGTGTTTCCGTAAATTTTTAAGAATTCCGATAAATTTCTGAATCTTTGTCAGCTTTTATTATGTTGCCAAAGACAAAGGCTCATGGATAGATTAGAATCAAACATTAAAACAGATTTGTTTACCTTATTGGATTGTTAATCGAAACAAAATGGCTCGTATCAAGGCAAAAACCAAAAAGTTTTGATTGACAATTATGGTCCAAGGAGTAACTGTTTTTTCAAAAAATTAAATAGTTTCTTTTTGCAATTATTCTCTTCTCTCGCTATATAAAGTAAAAAGTCATGCGATAAGCCTCTGGAAACGTATCAAACATTCCAAATAAATCCCCTCAAATGAAAGTGGAAAAATTTTCAAGTCTGTCATTATCACTTCAATGTGAACGACAAGTATCACTCGTTGATCGTTCCTTTAGCCGAATTGGAAATACTTGATCCGCTGTGAATTCTCAAATTTTGATCAGGTATGAGGTATTTTCTTTATTTTGAGCTCAATTTGTCAATACTTTTTAGATAGTTTTAAAAACTGTATTAAAACGTGGCTAGTTAACAGATTGAAGTTCGTCGAAACGTCACAAAAAAACACACCGAGCACTAATAAATCATTCATATTTCGAAAGTAGGAACTAAGAAGCTATCGCAAGAAAACATAGAACGCGTGAGTCGAACTTATTAAAAAACCTTTTTCGCTCTTTCAAAAAATTAAAAACATTGTCAATTTCAGTCGAATACAAGCCATTAAAAAGTAAATTTGGCCAAAAACTGGCACGCTCAAATCAAAAACAAAGGATATCAATTCTTGTTTGGCGTATTCGAATTAAGGCCAGTTTGGAATGAATGGAAACTTGAGGAAAACACATCGTCTACAATTTCCAAAAAACAAAACTTTTGAATTTATCTCAATTTTTTTCTGATGAAAATTCCTCCTAATTTTGTGAAGTAATTTAAGGGCTGAGCCTAACTTTGTTGCGACTTAATTTGAATTATACATATCAAGCTATTACAAACCGATTATTGGACCTAATCGCTCGAAATTAAATTAAAGTTTAATTTTTTGCTACTGGTTTTTCTTGATCACAGGTAAGTTTTTGTTAACTTCAGGTGGTATCCAAATATCCGCAAAAAAATCAGTTTAATTGAAAATTTGTCTGAAAAAAATAACCACCACGAGCAAAAATTTTGTGTCACTTTTTTTGAAATTTGTAACAATAATGACCATGTTTAAAAATTGTTTTCGTGAGTTCTGCTAAGGTTCAAAAAATGTTCAATTTTTGTGGGTTTTCCAACGCTTTTTTTCAACGCTTTCTAATCTCAAGAGAAAATTTGTAAATACACGCTCCAGCTAGATTGATTTATTTATTTTGAAAACATCCAACCCGTTTTTTTTAAGTAGGACAGAATATTTCGATCAGACTTTTAGTTTTAACGGTTTAGAGAAGTCCAAATTTGAAAATTTTCTTAACTTTATGATCAATTTGTTCTCGTCGTACAAAATAAAAACAGATGGTTAAAAAAAGTTGAACCGGTCTTCGTTGAAAACCTTTGTCCTTCTAATGCCAGAGATATAAAGGGAAAATGCACGAATGAACGAAAATCATTCTTTCAAATGTAGATTCCTCATACAGAATACACACCTTACGTTGCATGCATTGCAAAAGCTTAAGAGCTCTAGTATAGTTATGGCCATATAAAACCATATTATAATTACATTAAGTCAGATGAATCGGTGAAACCTCAATCAGTCCTTTTTACAGATCAGATTCTTCCACCTGGGGATGAGTTGGTTTCTTCGCAGTCAAAGGAATTGGTTCCTATGATATTCCATTCTTTGCCTGCTATTGATGGCGACAACTCAACTTGCTCTTCCGGGCATGATATCTTGCTGACCGATTTGACAAGAACTGTAATTGTTACTGGGATCGGAGGCGTTTTCACAGGTAATAATGATAATAAATGGTTTCCAAGTGAGGCCATGACACAAACAAAATAGAAATATGAAAGACTTCCCCAAAAACATTACTTGACGAAGAACCGTATGACTAAGATCTAGCCTGTCTTAGGTGAAAATATATGTATACGTTAGTGCTACCCTTGTCCAGGATCAAGGGTACAATTTCCCCTTCAAATCGATTTAGGGAGGGGGGGGGGAGAAAATATAGATTTTTCATAAGCTAACTCTGAGTATAGCCAAGATTCGTTCAAAATTAGCCGTATTACTAAAAAATATGAATTAAAACATTAATCTAGGTAATTAACAGCGTACAAATGCCATCCAGCATAAAAAAGTGAAAAAGCAATTTTATTTGCGCGTTTGTATAAAATGCATTTTATACAGAATTATTTTTCAGAATTAGTACATGCCTGAGGAGGGAATTCTACGGTTGATCAATTCGGGGGGGGGGGTTCAATGATTGATCTTGCTTCCAGTTTCAAGCGTTAATAATCAATTATAATATGATTTTATTAATATTATCAGTCTTACTGAAAAAGAGAGAGAAAAAAAGGATTTTAAGCAATTATAGTACATTATAATTGATTATATTCGATTAATTTCATCAGAAGTTCTAATCATTTGATTTGCAGAAGAAATCTAGTACAATCGATTATAATAGTTTATGATAACTTTTGTTTCCCACTTTGTCTTCGAATTGCGCCTGAACTGCTTATACTTTATGCTTTTTGTAGAAGTTGGCTTATGTGAAAAATGGGAAAATTCAAATTTATAACGTTTTCATTTTTTCAATTTTTTCTTGATTAGAGTTGTTTCATGATGCAGATTTTAAGTTTTTTTGACAACCAAAAAATCGGCACACTGCTTTAGTTTCACAATTTTATTTGGAAGAGTTATTTTTCAGCTACCACGGGAACCTTTCAACTATTATGAAGGGATCTCTGAAGTATAAACCAACCGAAAATGCGCGTAACCAATCAAGTATAAATTCCGGCCGAATAATTAAAACATATGAAAAAAGTCTATGACTTTTGTAACGGTTACATAATTTTTTCATAATTTTCAAATAGAAGTTATAGCTTTTTTCGGCATGTTTATGCGGTAGCTGTTTTTTGCTATGGCTTGTTTATAAACCCCAAAAGTCATTTAAATCAAACTTTTGTCAACAAAAAATCCGCATCAACAATTTTTTTTATCAACTGCTCATCAGATTTTTTTGTTATATTTTCGTAACGAAATAACTAACGGAATAATTGTGCTCGGGTGTGTTTCTCTTCAGACACATTTCGACTTTTTAGCTAGCCATTTTTGACAAGATTTTTAAAAATCATTCAAAAGTTATTGTTGTCCTGAGCTTAAACTTGAAAAGATATTTCACCTGTGATCATTTTTTGTAAAGTTATGGGGTTTAAGGATTGCCATTTGGCCAATTTGGGAAAATTATTGCGCGATTTATTTCATCCGTCTGAAAAAACGTTCCCAATTTCATTAGGAGCAAAATCTATCACTTTGTAATTTATATGGCGTGTGGGGGATAATTTTTGCAAAAATCTCAAATTAAAAAAAAATTTCAATTTTTTACATGTAAATTTTCACGTCAGCAATGCTCCATAGACCTTACAAAGCAGTCAGAACATTCAGGCTCTCGCCCTGAAAAAAGAAATTTTGTTTTATTTTTCGGAATCATGTAAAACTTTGACTTATGATGCATGATTTATGTAATTTTAGCGATCTGCTTGAAAAGTTTTCTGAAAATGAACAAACTCCGGTAAAGGATTTTGTTTAACGCGTGTGAGGAAGAATGGGTGTGTTAACGCGGAATAGCAAACATCCAGCAAATTGTTCAGCTGAAAATGAATTAAGACAAATAATTGTTTTTCAAATTCGTCCACAATCATTAAACTTAAACCCATTTTTATACAATTAAATGAAGATTTGAGAAACTAGCTTTTTCTGATTTTTTACTCGATTCCATGTAATGTTTTTTTTTGTGTGTTAACTGATTTTGCGTGAAACTTTACCAAAATTCAAAATACGAAAAAAAACTTTCAGTAATTAGAACAATAAAAAAAATAAGTTGACCCTTAGAATGTAAAGAAAAAATGTATAAAAATCACCAAGTGAAGCTCCAATTTGTATAAGCAAAAAATTTATTGAAGTCTGAAGAAACGCATAAAAAATTATGAACTCTTTTTGCGGGTAGTTTTATAATTTCAAAACTTACAATTTTTCATCTGTAAATCTCAATTATAAGTCGTGATTTTTCTATTGTTTTTTTTTCAAGAAATTGTTCTTTATTTGTTCTCTGTTTCGCGGTTTGAATTATTAGTTAAATTCAAAATTTTCTTAGGTATCAAACAGCATAAGTATAAGAGACACGTGACCAACTTCTAGTTTTAGAAGTGGACTTTAAATTTTAGATTTCCCGGCGAAACAAAAATTTTTACTCAATGTTTTTATCAAGTTGGAGTAATTTTATCAAAAAGTGGTTTTCTGTTTTTTTTCCACTCTTTGAGCTTTTCCCAATTATCTGTTGGCTTTGTTTTTTTTTGCAGATAATGGCTCAAATATCCTAGCTTACGCTGGTCCAGCTGGAGATTTCACAACATATGAAGCGAGCAAAAAGCAGTGCGGTGGGAAAATAGGAGACACGGTGATCAATGGTCTGCGTTTTGCCTTATGCCCAGAGGGTATCCCAGCCAGCAGATTCAATGTCCAATCAACTCAGCACGTGTCAGCATGCGAAACTGTCATCTTTGGCTGGTTGGGTAAGAGACCGTTTTAGAATTTTTTTATTTACATTCCAAACATTTCGGTCTTCAAACAAAGCGAGTAGTTGCTTCGTTCTGAAAATTTTATACCCCCTAAAATCTTTTGATTGGTTTGAAAAACTGAATATGCTAGCAATGACTTTTAGTCCATTTGACGCCAAAGACAATCCAATTTTCGGACAAAAAGGACAAAAAGCTTTTGCAAAAAAGTCTACTGAAAATGGAAATTGATATCTTTTCATAGCAGAATTGCCTCAAAAATCCTAGCATCTCTTAACCACAAATGGTGCTTCTACAATTTTTTGCTTTTGGTTGGCTCAAAGCGACGAAATTTTCACAGCCACGCCGATGTTTTTGAGTCGCGAGAGTCGCGCAAAATCCGTAAAATCGTAAACACAATACGTAAACACAATGCAGTCTCGACTTATTTCAGGGAAAAAGTGAATTGGAAGCTATAGGTGTGCGACATATTCAATATCAGCAAATGATTCAAGATGTCAGATTTCAAATTTTCGGATACAGTAGAAGATAACCAGACTAAAGCATTTATAAAACAGAACTAGCTCTCAAATAACAACACAAATAGCTATTAACTTGAAGCTGGAAAACGTCAAGAAATTTTTGGAACTCTTAGGTGATTCCTTGTTTTCAATTAAGCAACGTAAAACGAAAAAAAAAATTGAAAACAATGAGGAGATATTCGACAGTTAGGACAAATTAGATCTCAGCAAATAGTGAAATGTGTTGGATTTCAAAGGTTTATTACAAGACAGGCAATGGGAAGGTCTACTCTAATGGGGAGAATCGCTAGAGCTCAATATAATCAAAATTTTTGGATTGGAAAATAACAATGCTAGAAAACAATCGAATAGTTCTCACTAAAATTTAGTCTCACATCGATTGAATGGAAAACTAAATAAAAAATAGTTAACACTTATCTTGAAGCTAAAATTTTGATAAAACTTTATGAAGCAGTTTTTGCGAAATGTTTTTGAATCGGCTATCATGTCTCCCCTCCGACTCAAGAATTACAGCAAACTACAGTACGATTAGCCAACACAGAATTCAGAAATATGAAAAGATTTTGAAACAAGTTAAAATGAAATGATTTTTGGTCAAAATAATTTTTTTTTGTTCATCGTACAGAAGTTTTTCGGTAGGTCGAATAGTTGTTTTTGTAGATTTTGGTGATCGACAATTTTTGTACGTTTTGCAACCAATCGGATCGCCTCATATCAGATAGGAAATAAATTTCAGCCGTTCGAGTTTTGAAAAAGTTTCGAGTTCTATATTTTCCAAATTTTAGTGGGCAAAAAGGTCCATTGTTTTTGTAGATGTTTCTTGATGGCAGAAGTTTGCGGCATATATCCTTGAGTCACGTATATTTCCGCCAAAATTTCTCGGTCGGTTGCGTGTTTTTGAAAGGATAAATTTATGTCATTTATATTTTCACTAATTTTCCAATTTTTCAGCGTTCTTGCACGCATTAAACAAAATGAAATCTCCCCCTATGGTACCTACTTAGGAAAGTCCACTCCTATAAATAAGTACAGTAAATTAGCACTGAGCTTTTTTTGAGAATTATAATTTTTGCTGCATTCTGATTGATTGAAAAATCGACCATTTTGACCTACTTAACAATCTCCCCCCTTTCTTGAAAGGGGTGGAGATTGTTAAGTAGATCCTTATTTTTTTAAAATGCTATTACTGTTCCATACACCTGAAAAGGCAGTCGGAACATTCAGGGCTTCGCCCTGATACGAGCAGTCTTGTTTCAGTTGTGATTCAATTGCAATTCAGTTGGTTGCGTGTTTTTGAAGGGATAAATTGATGTCATTTATATTTTGACTAGTTTTCCATTTTTTCAAAGAAGATAAAAATGAAAAATCACTGCACGTATTTAGGAAATCGAAGATTAAATTTGGTAAACTCACTCAGAAACCAGCTTTTCTTTGAAATTCACAGCTGTAATTTTATGTTTGATTGTTTTTTGAAGTTACATATGCAGCAAAAACTGTTTTCATGCTAAAGATTAAAGGTTATAGAAGAGATCATTTAAAAAACCAAAAATTATCAATAGAATCACTTAGTATCTTGATATTTCATTAAACTTCAAATCAATGAAATGGATTATTTTTTTGTTATTTTTCGGAAAAAAAACTAATTGAAAGCATCATTCTAAATAAAAGTAGTTTGATGATTGACTTAAATTGAGAAACAATTTTAGAGACGATTCTGAAGACATTTATTCAATCATGATCTTTTTCCTGAAACACAATTGATTGTTTATCAAAAAAATTAGAATTTTTTCTTAAACTTGCTTTACGCTTTCAAAATTTTCATATATTTAAAAAACTCAAAGAAATTGTTTGAAATTTCCTTAAAACTTTCCTTTTGAAATTATCAGCATTAAAATTGAGGACTCGAAAAAAATTTTGTTTCAAAAAAAGACTAAAACGGCCTGAAACGGTTTATTGATATTTTATAATTGAAACGGTTATTTGAAAATTTTGAGTAGTTCATAACACTTAATCTTTTCAGGCCGTTTGAGTCTTTTTTGAGGTGAAAATATACACTTGTCTTTAATTTTTATGCTGATAAATTCGAGAAGATTGTTTTGGAGAAATTTTAAATAATTTCCTGTCCTTTTTTTTTCATCAGATGGATTTATTCAGTTTTCGAGGACGCTAAAAGTTCAAAAGATTTCATCAAACTGAAAATTTGTACATTCATAGACCGAAAAAATTGCTGTAAAATCTGAAAATAGACAAATTTTTGAAGTTAGGAAAACACATGTAATTTTAATCAGTGTCATCCAAAAAATACAAAAAGTATTGCAATCATGCCGAAATTCCTAAGGCGTTATTAAGTTCACATCCGTCATTTAAGTCGCCTGCTTCTTCAAAAATAGCGTGACCAAAACCGTCACTCGACCGTCACTCGAACGGGTGGGTTCAAGACTGAATATCATTCAAATAGTTTGGGCGAATCATGAGTCGAGAACCTCAGCTCTGACTTGCAGTAATCAACCAACTTAAATTAGGAAGAGTTTGTTTCAGAGTGGAGGACAGATATCACATTGAGCGTGAAAGTTGCTTCCAGCAGATATATTCAACTGACAGGTAGTCAAAACGGCCACAATGGAGAAATAACATCTGTCCAAAGGACAAAATGTGTCAAAATCTCGGACCAAACCGACTGCTCTGCAAACTTGGTTGGTAAACACGACGGATTTGAAGTTGACGTTATCTTCAACGATCTTGAACCAGGGACTGGCTACTCATTTTGGCTTGAAGGAGCTTCTGTGTTGTACTCGGATGGAAGTTCAAAAATATACGACTCGGAAAGAATCAACGTTTGCACCAGTAAATAATTTCTTTATTTCAATAATATGTCGTCAGTAATATATGTCTTTCCCGGGTCGAGATCCCGCTCAAAAACCGCTCAAGATTTGAGCGGTTTGAGCGGTTTTCCAGCAAGATTTGAGTGGTTTGAGCGGTTTGGGCGGTTTGGGCGGTTTTTTTGGAAAAACCGCTCAAACCGCTCAAATCTTGCTTAAAAAACCGCTCATTTCTTGCGGTGATTTTTGAACGGTTTTTCAAGCAAGATTTGAGTGGTTTTTGAGCGATTTTTGAGCGGTTTTCTCCTTGTAGTTTCAGCACCAGAACAATTTGAATAAATCTTAGACTACAGTTGTTCTCCTTTTGGACAAGCTTCAAGCTTAACGCGCAAATACCAGTATACACAAGATCTATTGAGACTAGGAGATATAAAAGTAAGATTAGGATTGGTATTAGACTAAGAAGTTGCACGAAGCTATCCGGTCGAATATAAGATAGCATACCTTATCTTAAATTACCCTATGAATAGGCTACCTCAAGCTTAAACTCACCACCACGAGCACAAATATTACGTTTCTTTCAATACGAAAGTCGGAAAAACAATCAGATTCAATGCAATCTGGTCGAGTTATTTTAAGGTTGAGTTATTCTAATCTTACTTTTATATCTCCTAGTCTCAATAGATCTAGTGTATACTGGTATTTGCGCGTTAAGCTTGAAGCTTGTCCAAAAGGAGAACAACTGTAGTCTAAGATTTATTCAAATTGTTCTGATGCTGAAACAAAAGTGTTAGTGATGGCTTAAGGTTGGTTAGTTTGTAACAATTTATATGGATACTTTTATCAATAATATAATTTCTTTATAAAAGCTAGCTTAGAGCTGGTTCCGGTTTAGAGACTTTTTATTGTTTTGAAATTGTTTTTTGCAGTGAAGGAAGGAGGAAATAGTTTTCTTTGAGAGATCGGAGCAATGTCTTCGTGAAGGATGGAGAAAAGTAAATTTTTATGAAGAGAATAGAAGAACAGTTGTTCGTGTTCCAAATGTGGGTCTCGTTTGATCGTGATTCATCTTGAGTGATCGTGTCAAGATTTTAGATCGATGAAATGATATGTCGATTTCGTTAAGCTTAAAGCAAGACTACGCTTGAGATGAAGTTTGACCTTTCCCTGTGAAGTACCAAGTGACTAGGATCGGTATGTGGTATCAAAGTCGAGCTGGTCATTGGTATGTTTCAATGGTTTCCTTTGCTGCGATTCAGTCCATAGTTTAAATCCTTTGAGGGTAGTGACTACGTTAACAAAGCAATAGATTTGCCATTCTAGAGTTGGAATGTAATCAAGTTTTCATTTCCTTTGGTGCTCAATCCTTTGGCTCTAAGAAATTTTTAAAATTGCTTTTATATATCTACAACTTGTTAGTGAAGGCAGTTCTTAATGATGATTTTTTATTAGCTGTTTTTGCAAAAGCGTTTTCATTTAGTTCGAATAGTTTAAAGAGTCGCTCACCCTAGAGCAACTCTCGTCACAAAGCGTGGTTGTAGCGCGATGGGTTAGGCTGGCTATAGAGCATGCTCAGGACGTCCCTCTGGTTGGTGAGGCCAGTAGTATGCTTGTACCGTCTCTTTGGTTCGAGTCTTTTTTTGTGTTCAACCTTTTGTTTCATTTTATCAGGTGTTTTTTTCTTTTTTCTCCAAAAACTTGAAAGTGGTTTTCAAAAGAATAATCCAAAATTAATCTGGGTTCAATCCGGTTTGGGTACCGTGGGACTTTCTTATTCATGCTATTAGTTTTGAGGTTTTGTGGCGTTAGAAAGCCTCGTTGGTTAGTTTATAATTCATTTTAACAGGGTCAAATGAAAGTTCGAAACGTGTGAAAACATGTTAGAGTTGTTATCAGTTAGATTTGAAACTTGAAATTTATTTTTTAAACAATTCTTCGTGGGCGATTTGTGCAAATTGGTGAAAAGAGTGTGTGAATTGTGGGCGAGTAAGAGATAAGAAAAGTTTATAAAAGAAGGTTCACATAAAAAGATTAGTTTTCTTATAATTTATTTGCAATTAAATGAATTTACTGCTTTGGTAATCGGAATCTTAGTGCCGATTATAAATTTACTGCTGTTGTATCGGAATTCTTTGCATTGTCATTTCATTGTCACTGTTAAGTAGAATTTTTAAAACTTAGAAAGAGAGTTTACAGTTTTTTATTTTGATTTTGTTCTTTTTAGATGAAATATCGATGAAATTTAAAAAAGGAAAATGAGAATCCTATTAGGAATGGTGATTGTTTTGTTTTATTTATCAGTTGAAATTCTTAAAGCATAATTACAAAGGGTCGTCATCAGTAAAAAAATCCATTGGGAAAATTCCTTTGGATTTTGTCGGATGATGTGAGGAGTTTCGCAAGCATGCTGATGATGTTTTTAGTTTGGAGTAGAGGTCAGAGAAGCTCCAACGCTGTGATTATCTTCAGTTCTTCATTATCAAATGAGAATTCGTGACGTGTGTTTTAAATTGATCTATACAATTTTTGGTTATATTTAGTGTTATGGATATATTCTAGAAAAGTGGTTTCAATCGGCTGTATATATTCATGGGGGACAATTGGTGGGAGAGCCTCATCAACGTCAAATGATTTTGGTTAGTGGGATTTTGTAATTTTTTTTCTTCAAATCCGAATGAAAATAAAAGTACTAACAAAAGACACGTAACCCACAACACAGATTTAAATCATTAACTCAAAATATACTCAATATGTGTTGTGGGTTACCTGTTTTTTCGTCAATACTTTTATTTTCATTCGGATTAGTTGAGGATTAGTTTTATTGTCGTCCTCATTTGAGGTTTGTTCCATGTAGCGTGTGATGTCGTTGTCATAGTGATTCAATTAGAATCCGTTAGCGCATTTTGCCATAAATCTGTTAAATGTTTGATAAAGTCCGATTGTGATGAACTGTTTTTCATGAAAGGCATTTGTTAGTTCGTGGAGGCGGGATTGGCATAATTCGTTGTCTTTGGGGTCTTGTGTACAAAAAGGGCTAATGGGTTAGTAAATGATAGTATTAAGTTCAATATAGTGTAGGAAAAAGGCTATATTCATCAACGAATTTCAGATGGTTGTCATTACATTATATAGTTAAGTATTTTGAGGTAAAAATGGTAATTTATAAACTAAAAAATCTTTGGTGTTACTATGTTGTGGATGAAGGGAACATAGTCGGAATTATTGGGGGCGGCTGATTGGGAGTTGGCGTTTTGCGTTAGGATGTTTGCTTTTGGGATATGAGCTCTATGGGGTCTTTTTAAAAGCTAAAGCGAGTGGTTGTAGTATTTATGTACGTTCGAGTTCACATAAAGGATGAAGTGGTTTCTAGTTCAGATAGTGACATTTCCTGAAAAGTATAGTCTAGTTTCTTATCAAAATGTATATCTTAGTGTATTGCTCCAAAAAATGTGTTATTGACAAAAGAGGGTTCTTGTAATCGTGTGCTATCTTTGTCTTCTGGGCGAAGTTTTCCGCAAGCGTTTCCTGTGTTTCTCGAAAATGTTACTGAGATAAAGACTCATCTTTGCGGTTCTGATATAGATGGTTATTTAGAAGCTACTTCTGTTTCAGGGTGAGTATGAAAACGTCTTAATTTGTTTTCAATACCGTCAATGTTGTTACGAATTGCCTACTTGAACTTATTCTACCAGGGTTGACTTTTTTAAAAGGAATTGATTCTATAAAAATTTTTCGCTGAAATCTTATCATTCTTGCGTGGACTATAGCGACTTGAGTAGTGGTACACGTGTCTTCATGGAACTAAACAATAGTTGCCTGGGTTCGAGTGGTAGGATCACAATATCCTTGATCATTTTTACAAGGTAAGCGTAATTCTTGATACAAAAAATATCATCCCTTAAGTCACGTGCCAATTTTACTTTTTCTAATTTGATTTGTCAATCAAAAAACCTTATTTCTATTTCTTGGTATCCTTTGTTTTTTGTCTCAGCCTTGCAGTCGGAGGGATTATTAATTCCGATTTGTGATATTCAATTTTTGTCGAGCATAAGTTAAATGTCCGCGTGCGATTTGTAGCTTTATTTGTGGTTATTTTTAACCAATGTAATTCAGTTTTGCAATCTGCAGGGCTAAAATGCAAGATGCAGAAAAACATTCGATATTGCTTCAGTAAAAAGAATTGTGATCTAGTCCATTTTTGTTTACATTTGAGACTTGTGAGCAATTTACTTTTTTCTTTGCATAACTTGCTGTAGTTTTTTATCCTGTTAGAGTCGTAGCTGGTGCTTTAGATTAAAGTGCTAATAATATATATGTTGATTCTATTTTTTTTGGTTCAGATTTGCATTGTATTACTTAGTTTACTGCGTACTTGTGTAGTGTCTTTTGTTAATTTTCTTCGCAATCATAATGTGTAACTAGGAGGTCGCGTTCCTTTTTGGGGGGAAGGATTTTTGATGAGGTGTAGGTTTCAAAAGTACAAAGGCTCCTTTGGCTGTAACAAATCATTTATTTCGAACATTTAGTTTTCATTTAGTTCGAATATTTTAAAGGGTCGCTCACCGTAGAGCAACTCTTGTCAAAAATAGAGTGTTGGTCACGAAGCGTGTTGTAGCGCGGTGGCTTAGACCGGCTATAGAGCATGCTCAGGACGTCCCTCTGTTTGGTGAGGCCAGTAGTATGCTTTTACCGTCTCTGTGGGTCGAGTCTTTTTTTTGTGTTCAACCTTTTGTTTCATTTTATCAGGTGTTTTTTTCTTTTTTCTCTTAAAACTTGAAAGTGGTTTTCAAAAGAATATTCCAAAATTAATCTGGGTTCAATCCGGTTTGGTTACCGTGGGACTTTCTTATTCATGCTATTAGTTTTGAGGTTTTGTCGCGTAAGTAAGCCTCGTTGGTTAGTTTAAACGTACTCTTGTAATTCCTTCCAACAGGGTCAAGGGAAAGTTGAAAACATCATTTTGAAAACATAATAGAGTTGTTATCAGTTAGATTTGAAACTTGAAATTTATTTATCATACAATTC